ATAAGAAATCGGTTTTTAACTTTTCTTACTCTATCTGTTCAGCTGTAATTCCCCGTTCATCTACATACAAATACCGTGGTGTCCATCTTTGTACTAATCTTGCCTGGTGTACTCACATCGACAAGATATGCGCGAAAGCAAACAGAACCCTGGGATTCTTGCGCCGGAATCTGCATCATTCCCCATCTACCATTCGGCAGCAGGCCTATCAAACGTTTGTACGTCCTCAGCTGGAATACGCTTCATCGATCTGGTCTCCGCATCAACAATACCTAATATATAAAGTGGAATCCATCCAAAATCGTGCAGCCCGCTTCATCACTTCAATGTATAACCGCCACTCCAGCATCACCCAAATCAAACGCGATATTGCCCTTACTAACTTGGATTCCCGCCGCTCTGTCTCCCGTCTATGCCTCCTCCATAAGTACTACTACAACTCGTGGACCAGCCGTCTATCGCTTGACATTCCTTCGCGTACATCTAGTCGAGTTCATAATCATCTCAGTTTCAGACGCATCTTCGGCAACACTCAGTCATTCAATAATTCTGCATTGCCACGCGCCATCGCAGTTTGGAATAGCCTTCCGGATGAAATTGTTTCTGTGAGAGATCCGGTCAAATTTCGTGAGCTACTGCAAATTTATATGTTCTCTTGATTTTGTATAACGATGCTTTATTTTTTTATTTTGTTTTTTGCTGCATTTGCTTATAGTGTTTGTTCTTCTCCCTTCCATTGTGTAATTTTCTTTGTTTTCTTCGATATAATTTCTTTTTATGCTTTATGTTATTGTGATTTTTCTGTAACCCCCCCTACTCAATGCTCTTCTGGGGCCTGTAGGGTAACATGAATGAATGAATTGCTTATGGCAAAGGCGCTGATAGGTGTTTGAATTGCATGCACTCGCAAGTACCGAAGAGTTTTGCAATCCTCGATAGGCAAAGAACTACTTATGCTGACGTCGCCTAGTTAGTGCGTGTGGATGTCGGTGGTTTCGCATTGTCGTTTTAGATCGAGCGTTTTATGACTCTTTTAGCCCTCATATTAAATGTGCAAATATGTAATAATGCTTTGTTAGCATTGTCAACTTGACATTTTTAGTCATAAAAACCATACACTTCTCACCAGGTTAATGCACAGCATTGTGCATGCATTGTTCGCACTCAAGGACACATATGTCAGCCTGTTAACAATTAGATTTGCTCTCTCATTTAAATAATGTCTACAGAAAGAAAAAAGGCAAACAGCTGCTTGAGTGTAACTAGTTACAAATATGCAAGACTTAGCGCTCCTGATTGTGTAGGTGCCGCACCTGTTTAAAATGTTTTTGTTGATTTTCTTGAAACCTGTTTAATCACTGTGCTTTTAATATTCATTTGAAGAGATTTATTTTGGTTCATTGCACAGGGTAAAGCTTCTTTTCTGTGCCTGAAAAGATTAGAATTTGTAGAATGTGGAATTTGAGTGCACACTTATTTTTTGGTACTTCAGGGAGCACTATCATTTTTTTTTCATTAGTACACTTTGGTACTCAAAATGCACACTTTAAATATTAATTTGACTTGCAAAAAAATTTTACAAAAAAAGGGCTTGTCTTTCAATGCTCTCATATGCCTATAAAAATCTGCTTTGTGATTCAGACTAATAATCTCCAAGTCTTGTCACTAAAAAAAAAAAACATTACCTTCGATACTTTGCTTTATACCTATAGGATCAGGGGAAGCGGGAGTGTTTGAAGGGGTCATAACACCCAATTTTCGAACATGTTCTGTCGGTTAATCGTTTCGCATTCACAAATTAGCTGGCAGAATGGTAGCGAATTTGCATGAACACTTACTTTGTAATTGAGTGTTTCATAAATGCACAAGTGGCTGGACAGTGGGGCAGCACTCGTGAGGAATTATGTAACAAGCAGCTAACTTTTCGAGCATCTGCATTCCTGCGAGCAGTTCTTCGTCAACTGTATGTGAAACCTGTTATTTTAGCCTTGTTTCATTCCGCACTGAAATTAGAATACTTGCTGCAGCTGAAACTTTGGTATAACAGAACGGCTGCACTCCTTAATGTGCTTTGTCACGTTCGTCGTGGCAAAAGGCTAGTTGCTGGGGGTGGGCAAGGTTTTCTTTTATTGTAATAATTTAAGGTTTGCTTTTTATAACCAGTCTGGGAATAATATATCTTTTACTTTTAGTGTTCACTGAAAGTGAAGTTTTTGAGTGATTGTGACATGGCCCCTTTATTTAGTCATGAAATACGTGATTTAGTCATTAATCTTGTGACTTATTTTTATATTTATTTGTGTATTGTAAATATTATCAGGGTTGCACAGAATGAATTTGGGGAATATACGTCATTTTGATGATGTCTGTTCTTTATAATAAAAGTTACTTCAGTAATAATTACCAAGGTATGCTTTGTTCACATGGTCATTCGTGAATTATATGCTTGTATTGTGATCAGCTACATACAGTATGACACAAAGCATTTATGCCACACTGCGCCTGCATTTCATTGCTAATGCGGCTTCACTCATGCAAAATGTTTGCAACACGTAAGTTACTAACGTAAATGAAAAGTACAGTTGCTTTTGCTGCATACCTTAAGGGGTACCGACACCATATTTCTAAGGCGAGTTTAGTCTGACTAACTAATCTCCTGTATACACAGACGACTCTGAGAAAGTATAACACTCGGCAAATTCTGATAAGGTATTTCATTTCAACATTAAAATCAAATTACTCGCAGGGCACCTTACAACATCGACACTAAGTTGACCTCGGGACTTGAGTACTAATTTTGGTGACTTCACGCTGCATTCTGGCTAGTTGTGATGATATCTGGTACTGGAACTTCTAAGATGGCTGCTTGGTTCGTGGAAATGTGACCATATCTTGTACTAGCACGTAACGAAAAGGTCATACTTTGTTGCAATGACAGGGGACACTAGGAGTTCAAACTAGCTTTCAGAACACTATAATTAGTTTTTCAGGGCACACTTGCGCATTGCGGTACATTTTCTAGGCTTCTGAGTGCTTGGCCTTTCCTTGGTTGTAAAAAAAACAGTGAAAATTTTTTGTCAATACCCTTTCAAAAGGACAATTACAAGTTCTCTGTAAATGTAAAGGCTTTGCCATTTCCATATGTATGAGCCAGATTTATTTGCACGCCATAGATATTGTACTGATGAAGTGCATTTATTTATGAGACGAGAATAAATATAATTCTTCGAACCCATCGATCCCAGACATTGTCCAAGTTGGGTTTTAAAAGACAAATATTGAAACCTAAATGTTTGTAGATTATTAGACATATGTCTTAATATAATTTAATTTGGTTTTAAAGTAAGCTGGAGTTAAAACCGGTGTTAAATTTCTCATCAAAGCAATTAAAGGTTATAAACGATTCAGCTATGTCTTGCCTTAAGTTGGCCCTCACGAGCACAGGTTATGGTCTTTTAGATATAGGTTATCCACTTGATACAGTGACTGCTGTCACTGAGCATTTGAAGAAGTCGGTAATGTCAAACCCGAGCATGGTTGCAGAAGGCAACAGGAATAAACTTATTGTTGGGATACTGTACATTCATTGTGCACGGTATCTCAAGGGCCTAAGAAAGTAGGCAGTTGACACAGCGTTAACATTGTTTTTATGGTTGCCAATAAGCTGGGTTACATTTGTGTCGCAGCGCAGAGGAATGAGAGAGTTAAACACAACAAGCTGACCCAGAAGGCAACAGGAATAAACTTATTGTTGGGATACTGTACATTCATTGTGCACGGTATCTCAAGGGCCTAAGAAAGTAGGAAGTTGACACAGCGTTAACATTGTTTTTATGGTTGCCAATAAGCTGGGTTACATTTGTGTCGCAGCGCAGAGGAATGAGAGAGTTAAACACAAGAAGCTGACCGATATTTGTTTCATCAATCACACCAACAAATTCATTGATTGCCGTACAAGTGTAGTTGACAGGGATCCTTTTTTTTATTCCCCTGAGTGTACAATATGGTGGATCGATTGAGCAACAGCCGATGCACTGTTTCATGACACACAGCGGTGCTGCTATGTCTTGTAGAAAGATGCTTATGTACTGCGGTAGCCACGGCTTTCTATGCAGTCAAAGTATTCAATGGCAGTTAAAGTTATGAATATGTTATGGTCCCAGTGATCGTATAACTTGTCACTGCCCCCCCCTCCCCCCCTGTAACATTGAGCATCCCCTTGGTAGCTTGTGTGCTCTGTCCGATTGAAGTTCGTAGCACTCGCTAAACATACGGTTTTGCAAAGGCACAAGACCATTGCAGAGTCACTGAAAATGTTACATTGCCCCAGTTTGTGTCAAAATGACACCGCTTTAATTCACAACATGTGGACTTAGTAAAATAAAAATTTATTTTTCACAGAAGAATAATTTACAAGAACACATTCAAATTTGAGGAGAATAGAAGGTATGACAAGATGAGCCAGGGAGCACAGAAAACAAGAAAAGTGAAACGCTGATTTGCGTGAGGAGTCAAATAATAGGTAGGCAAAGTCACTCATGAGAGAACCCTCACACTGGCATCAAGCCGCGAGTCTGAGCCAAAGTAAGTGAAGTATTTTGGCAAGTCTGATTGAGTGAAATTGAGAAAAATTGAGAAATCTAGTTTGAGTTCCACAGAGAAAAAAGTTTGGTACCTTTTCTGTACCTTTTCTCTGCAACAGCAAAAGGAATGTAGCCATATTTGCTTACTTGTTGTAGCTCACGCATACAAAGTTTTATAAAAATCAATTCAGTACATTTTGAGAAAAGGTAGGTTGAAGTTGAAAAACTTACATAAAACGCACTTTGAGAAAAACAAATTTTTACATCCACATACTGCTTACGCCAGAGGTTGCGTGGCACACTACGGTGCGGAATTTAAGTGGCTTCTCAACGTCTGGCTTCAACAGCTTCGTTCCTCAGAGTACAGTGAATTTTTTTGGTGTCAAGACTGCAAATTCAATTTTTTGCTGTGTTCACCCTACCATACCCCCTTAAGAGCAGCTGTCACACTGAAGAATGGGCAAGCAGTGCCATGCTAGAAAGGAGAGTGATGACGCAGCTGTGCGTCCTTGCCCGAACTGGCAGTGAAGAACAAGTGTCTAGGAGGGCTGCTTCTTTGTCAGTCCTGGTAGATTCCACTGGCAAGGAACCTGGCCAGCCGTGCTAGAAAAGTAGCTGGCGAACAACCTTCTTGCAGCACCTGCATCACCATCGTAGTTTCGTGCCTGTGTTGGAGCCATGGCAAAGAAACTGTTGTCTGGCACATGTTGCACACCATGCCGCCAGCGCCCTCCAACAACGTTTCCGAAACTGTCTTCTCTGTCCAAGAATTGATGGGCATGTGGGTTGTACAGAGTAAGGAAGTTGTGGAGGACACAGGCGGCCTTCACCACGAAGTCCACATGGCTGGGCTGCAGGTTTATGGTGCGAAGCAGTATCCTCCACCTGGCAGCAGTGATGCCGAAGGCATTTTCTGCACAGCGTCTGCAGACGAAAAAGAAAAATGTTGCAACAGCGAATGAAGACGCGACACACCATGGTGCCTTCAAGGCAATGGAAAGTGGTTGCAAGATAAAAGTAGTGGTGTGGTAATGCCGAGTAGTTGCGACAGATGAGCCATTTGTCACAATGTGATGAAAGACTATTTCCCATTTAGTGCAATACTTTCTCCATCTTTTACAGCCCACTGTCAGAAAACAGTGCGAAAATGGGATGATGGAATGAACAATCCAAGTTCCGAGTTCCTTCGCCGTCGCCATCTTCGTTCACTGTTTCCTTGTAGTACGATGTACCAGCTGTCCCTTCATTACACTATTCTGTTACAGGCTGCTGCACTTGAGTATTGGACTGTAATAGTATATAGAGACAGCAAGTGTTCAACCAAATTTATTTTCATTAACCCGTTGTCGGCACAATCACGTATGACTGAGAAAGATGGAACACCAGACGAGGGCTTATTACTGTCAACGGCAGTAGCACTATGAACTTTGGCTTGTGTACTCAGTGTTAGCAAAAGGCACTCTTTGTCCATTTCTGCATCTTTTATTTTTTCAAATGTTAACTACTGAATTTTGCTTGTATCACCACTACAACATTGAAGTTTTTAACCGATGCTGGGCTGATTATTTTGAACCTTGTGAAATAATAGTAGTACGACAGATGCTCTACAATTGCTGGAATAGAAGCTGGAGTGAATAGAATAATACAGAAGGAGTTTCCAAATGCACCTTTTTTCCACTGTCTAAGCCACAAATTTGATCATGTGATCAACGATTACAATTTTTCCGTGAAATGTGAAACATTGCGGGGGTCATCAGATGTACAGTAACACTTTTTTATGATGTGCGCTCAGACGGAAGTTGCTGCCCAACCTACTGCATGGTAATATGAGGGGATCTGCAAAATGCAAGTTGATTAAGATCTTTGCTCAGCAATGTCTGGCCGTAGTCAAAGCATTCGAGGAGCTTTCATCAATAGAATCAACCTCAAATGCTGTAACTACACAAGTATTTATGATGAGTGTGAACAGCATAAGTCATTTATGAAATGCAGCAATGACTTTATCACAAGTCTCATCATATAATTTTCTCACTGAAACACATGGTGTGTGCACCTACTATACAAAGACTAACTGCAGGTAGATGTATCCAACATATTGTGCTACTTGCTGGTGACCATTTAGCACAAGTCAACCCTGCACAGAGAGCTTTTTTCGTGAAGTGATCGCAACGCTTTATTTTTGACGGACACAATCTTCTCAACACTAAGATAATGCAGAGTATCTCCGAAAACTTGGCTACTACTGCCCTGTTTGAAAGCTTAATTTCATGTGCGCAGTTTTAACAGAAAATAGTGCCTATTTTGTGGTAACTCGGTGCACCAGCACTCCTTCCCACAGCAGAAAAGTTCTGCAAATGCCCTTGGTTGACTAAGATCCACAGGTTAAGCTATCGTGTTCAATCGCACGTGATGGGCCTTTTTGCGAATTAAGGCTATGAAGACATGAGGTTAACGAATCAGAGAAACAATCCAATACCTTGCTCGGCTGAGCCTGTAGTTGAAAATCCTCATAGTGTCATTGAGGCATTTTGCGGGGTAAGGCCTCATGAAGTCCTTACGAAGCTGGAATGCCTCGTCTCCCACAAAGGCATAAGGCACACATGTGGAAGTGCCTGGTAGGGTGCCAACTGCTGGAATGTCAAGGCGGCCTTTAGAGAGGTCACAACCAAAGGATGATTCCTTGAATATTCCCCCATCGCTTTGGCGGCCTTCTGCACCGACGTCCACAAGCACATATTTGCAATCGCTGTCCACCACAGCCATAAGCACTATAGAAAATGTGCCCTGAAACAATAAACACGACAAAAAATCCAGATCAGGACCTATCTGTACAGCCACAGTGAATAACAGCAGTACAATAATTACTATCTTTGTTAAGGTTTCACGTATCTTCAAAAGTGTGGCATATATAACAAATATTTGCTTAAACGGAGGCAGTCAGTCTGGTGATTTACTGCACTAAAATTGTACAGTACACCAAGTTACTAAAGACGCAACACCACTTGTGTATGCTTCACACCATGTGTCCACTCTGGCTTTGTGAACCCTGTAATTTTACTGCAGTTTAGAATCATCCAAAAACTAACTAGACCAATATCTAATTTTGCCAATCTGATGATTCCAGTTTTCTGATCTGCTCTTCTATGTTCATGTTGCACTTATCAGCTACAGTATTTGAGCAAGCATACATGAAAAATTTAGTTGAGAATGCACAGGGAGAATCCAGGTGAGCTTTTACCTTATAGTTGAAGAATTTGCTGCCAGATTTTGGTGGACATACAATAGCAACATGCTGCCCGTCAACGGCACCCAAGCAGTTCGGGAACTGTCACCGTGAATGAAATCCTTTGGCAATACAGTGCCAGTCTGCTTTGGTAGGTGTCTGGAAGTACAAACAAAAAATGTCGTACTTTAACAAGAAAGAACCTATAATGCAACAAAACAAATATGCAGAGAGCACATTATTAGAAGCAGTGATTTTCAAAACGGGGTTCAGCAGAATCTGTTCGAATAAAAGCCACGTACTTTACACTGCTGTCATGCGACTCTCGCCACTTTTCTTTCTCTCATTACAAGAGTCCCTCATTAAACAGAGGCAGTCAATCTGGTGATTTACTGCACTAAAGTTGCACAGTACACCAAATTACAAAAGATGCATGAAGTTAGGAAAGACGCAACACCACTCGTGTGCTTCACACCATGTGAACCTTGTAATTTTACTGCAGTTTAGAATCGTCCAGAAATCAACTAGACTAATACCTCATTTTGCCCATCTGGTGATTTCAGTTTTCTGATCTCCTTTTCTATGTACATGTTGCACTTATCAGCTACAGTATTTGTGTAAGCATAGATGAAAAATTTAGCTGAGGATGCACAGAGAGAATCCAGGTGAGTCCACTAAGCTCCCCAACAATTCATGGCTGAGAAAAAATAACTTAAACATGGTGCTGGGCTAGTTAGAATATGGAACTCTGATGAATTTGCAGTGCTTATGCAAAAAAAGAGAAAAACACAGACACAGAAGAAAGAAAAATATTGAATTATGCTGTAAAATAAGTTCAATTTACAGACGTCTTGTAACAACGTTTAAAACGCACGACTAGTACAACTACACATTTCATCATCATTACATCCTGGCGGATCACAGAGCAAGGAGAGCTTGCTGGTATCCTGGTAGGAATTTAGAGAAAAAGTGGGCCTGGGCTTATCACATTGTGAGAAGGTATGTTAGATTGCGAAAAAAGGATACAAAGAGTTGGGAAGTGCAGCCAAGTATTACAAAAGGTTAGGTGCAGTGAGTGGTATGAGTGTACCTGCAGGTTTTTTAAACACATGCAAGATATTAGAAGTAACAAATACACAAAAGAGTGGCCTACTCTTTGGGCAGAAGAGTCGTGTTTCAAGAAACCAGCAGGGTGGCAGTGAGCATTTATTCTGGATGCATAAGTTTGCAATGCATATTGTGGTCTATCATGCGTTCCCTGCTTGTATTGGGAAACAATTCATTGCTGTCTATCCACCGTGATGGCTCAAATCTATGCGTATACCTCAACGCAACAAAATTCTCTTTACATCACTAGACATCACCAGTTGCCGTCAGTCAAGCTTTTGTGAACATGTATTGCAGCAATCAAAAAATATGTGCCATCTCCTCTCTGATTACGAGTTCTCACTTCAATTTAAGGCTGAACCTATCCATGCTGCTTCCAGGCTTACCTACCAGGTAACCAACATCAAAGTGAAATTGCGAACCGCTTACCTTCATGACATGGTCTTTTAGCCTTTCCCAGATTGCTTCGCACGTTTCATGAATGCACAAGCGGGCAGTTTCGATTCCCACTCGATACGCCAGAGCAACAGAGGGGATATCTTGCCCTGATGCAAGGTAACTGAAACAATAAACATGAAACAATAAAAAAATAAAGTAATTCAAAGCTATCTTTTTTGGCACTTACATTCAGTTAATGCTATGTGGCATGTTTTACCTCAATATCACTAACCTCAAGGTTATTGCAAGCCGTTCACCAGGCTCGAGAGTTTCCCTCGACACGTGGATTTTTGTCAGGTCCAGAGCAACGAATCTGAGCAGCACATCAAAAAGTGCTGGCGTCATTCGATAGAACTTAAAAAAAATCCATGATCGCCTTCGCGCATCCGTTTCATCTGTTGAAAACAAAAGCAGATTACAGTGATTGAACAGATTCTTACAGAGAAAAAAAAATGAACGGGAACCAGCAATGTACCTCTCTTAACGCCGAATCCCTGATCGAACATTCAAGCACATGTGAAATTTCAGATATAATACAGTATTCCTTCGGTGGAATTTTCTCTGCAGATTTCATTTTATAGCTGAATATGCCCTCCGAGTAAATGCATAGAAGTTTGCTGGGGCATACATGCAACATTTCTCAATTGGCTGTGCACTCACTTGCTACTAAAACAAAACGCTTCAAGAGGTCATGGGGTTTGAATACAACATACGTATTATAAGTGCTCTATTGTCAAAGGCGTGGTCGTCACTCGCTTGGTTTATTTTTTTTTCCTTGCATGTTTATTGGTATATCGTATTATTGGCTTTATTTATTTTGCTTTCATTTTTATGTCGTAGGTGTCATTGCTGTTTATTTCAGTCAGGAGTGATCGAACAGCACGACGTCACGTTAAAATGAGACTGAACGAGGTCAAGAAAGAGCTGAAGAACTTACCGCAGTGTGGTAGAGGCCTTCTTGCTTACGCGCCAAGAAAACAGGGCGAATCCACCAACGGCGAGGCTGCCGCTGCTCGCGTACTTGCTTCCTCTTTTTTATGAGCAGCATGAGGAGCACGAGTGTCGAAGTGAAAACTGTTGCATTCCTGCGGGAAACTGCCGACACCGCAGGCATGGTTGCGAGAAACGCACGAGGAAAGCTTCGTGAAACAAACACACGTCCACCCGTCAACAGGAGCACACACGGAGAAAGAACAGAAATTGGCGCGAAGAGCTGATGTTGATGTGGATGACACGCGAATACAGTCGACACTATTGGCTTGATGTCTAATGAACAGTCTAAATAATTAAGAAAAGTGTCAATTCAAATATAAAATATACTATTTTGATTTAAAAAAGCTCCTCCATGGCTTGAATACGAGTAACAAATGTTTGAAAAGTCAATCTTTTCAGGCAATGCATTGGCAGTTTCACATCAAAAGCTCTAGCAACACTGCGCGTTAGCTAGGCGCGACGCGAGCAGGCGCGAGTGCCGACGCGTACCAGTGGTTGCGCGCCCTTTTCCTCCATAGGCGCGACTAGACGCTTTTGACGCGTAGGCGCAGGCGTACGCGTGCCAGTGGTTGGCACTTTAAAGATGCGGGCCGCTTCCCGCGAGACGCGGCCGCGCGCGAAGCCGCGGATTGCTGCCTGCGAGTCGCTGATTACGATCGTAGTGTTCGGCACCGTGGCGAATGCTTGGGCTATCGCGGCTTCTTCGGCCGCCTCCGTATGTCCCGTTGTCACCGTGGCGCTCGCGAGGCAATCACAGCAATAAAAGAAATACTTAAAAGAGCTCCAAGGGAGTGATGTAACTTTTTATAGAGTACACTATTTTTGTCCGATACCTTATGCAAATTTATTAGCTGCAGTATTTTCAGTTTTGATAACTAATCCTAAAGCTATATACACGAGCCACGAGCATTACGTTGGTTCATGACACCACTGCAGTGCCATTCATTGTATAAAAATATTTACGCAAATTTTGCCTATTTACTACCGGTTGGTCTTGCAGCGACTGCTTTAAAAAGAAAGAAACACTTATTATGTAGGAAGTTAACGTTCCATTCTGTGAGAGACCTTCTGAAACTCATACATTGTCCGCGTCATCCTCGCGAGGTGATGACACACTGGAGTTGCTAGTATGCAGAAGAGGTACCCGCCCTGAATGATTGGTTGAGTATTGTAGAGCTAATGCCACTCTACAAGTCTATTCACGTATTGTAATTTACACCACAAGACAACAGGCAAATTTGGGACGTCTTTTGCCCACAAATCAATGATGGGTATCTGGCTCACTCACTCGCTCTGTTTTTCACGAGATCTCTGCGCTTGAATTTTCGTGTGGGCTCTGTAACAATCTTGCAAAACAAAAAGCTCATTTTGGGGTGTGTTTCTACCCCGTCACAAAAGAGCGAGCAATCTCACGTGTCCTTCCTCCTACTATCACTGGGCGTGTGGTACTAGCAAGTCGTAAATTGAACGCGTGTTATGTCTTTTTCAAGCTAACTTCAAAAAGACATTTGAGGGGGGTGGGGGAGTGGCCAGTGGCGAGTTATCCCAAAATGAAACGCCATCTAGCCAGATGACCGTTGTTTATGATGAGCAAATAGGACTCCACGAAGGGTGTCAAATGTTTTTCGAGTGCCAAAAACACTTGGGCGATAAATCTTGGCGGTATCATGCTGGTTCAAGAGTGCAGACATCGATTTACCCGCTTAATGCAGTCAAGTTTCTTAGACTTTGTCCGATAAGCTAAACTGCGACATCATTTCACTCATGCTAGCTTACGTTAAACGCCTGCTGAGAACATTACTTTTAGTGTTCCACCAGCCACAATACGACCTGACACCCGTATTGCGTTCACTTGCCGTGATTGAGCTGAAAAGATTAACACACGTCATGCCATTCATGATTGAATACATTAGCTGGAAATATGCCATTTATTACCCAATATTTGCCAATATCCCGATTTGGTGTATCCAAGCCATACTTCGCAACTTGTTGCGCTGGCTGGACGGAACCGTAAACAACTTTTTGCCTTCGCATGAATTGTTGCGGCATCCGAAGGCACAAAATATTCATGGCAACTGACACTGAGGTTCGCTCTGTGCACTAAGTATGTCCGAACACAATGCAAGTTGAATGACAAGCACGCATCTATGCAGCACAGGTAAAAGCACAGGCGTTGCGCACTAGCACGTCCACGCTCCCGCACCCCAGAGCACTTTCGGGCAATGGTAAACGAGAGGGAGCCTCCCCGCGGTTTCACGTGACAGTAGTTGATCAATGCCGACGCGACAGCGGCCTCGGAGAGGTATGGGGAAAGAGAGTGAGGAGGCGCGCAGTTAACCATGTACGTCGCTACTTTGCGAAGTTCTGGAAGCTTTAGGAGCAATAAACAGTCACCTGCTCTTGGCGAGAGGGCTTTTTTACTAGTTTTGATAAAATAGCGGCCTGTAATGAAGTAAATTTTATGAATTGACCGCAAAAGTCGCCGCAATGACATTTTACGGATAAGTACAACAAAAAACATTCTTTTTGCCGAATTCTGCGAAGAAATTGTGGTAGTTTCCCGCTTTTTTTTTACCAAGGCGTGTTGAACGTGACTGTTTTTTAATAAACAGTTTTCCACGAGAAGTGGGTCAGTAACTTGAATAGAGACAAATGGACGCCATCTTCAAAAAGCAGACTTTGCAGTGACCGTTTGGCAGGGTCATGGTTTGTTCGAAATACTCATCTTCAAGACAATCCCATCCTGACGATGTTTTTTATTCCACATCACAGACAAAAGACAAACTTTAGCGCTCCTGGCTACCATTTCGCTCACTCTTTTTTTGTAAAAATATGCCGTGACAATCCTTTTTTGTCACCTGAAATAAAACGTTGTACATAACAGCACTGCGCCTTGTTTGGACGGCGTTGCCACAGTGTCTGTCATTTTTTGTGCAGCGTTCGTCGGCGTTCCAAGTGAAACCTAATCGTAGGGTTCGTTGCGTGCCCTAGTTGTACATTACAGCAGCGCGCCGTATTTGGACGGCATCGCTACAGCGTCGGTCATTTTTAGGGGCGAAGCTTTTTATAGCAACACCCGTTCATCCCTGATTGATTGATTTGTCGGGTTTAACGTCCCAAAACCACCATATGATTATGAGAGACGCCGTAGTGGAGGGCTCCGGAAATTTCGACCACCTGGGCTTCTTTAACGTGCACCCAAATCTGAGCACACGAGCCTACGACATTTCCGCCTCCATCGGAAATGCAGCCGCCACAGCCGGCATCTGAACCCGCGACCTGCGGGGCAGCAGCCGAGTACCTTAGTCACTAGACCACCGCGGCGGGGCACCCGCTCATCCCTCGTAGCCGTTGTAGTGTAAGAGGTATAACGTTTTGACCTCCAAGGTGGTGCAGGTGACAGATTTCTTCTGTGCAATGTTGAACAATGAGAAATAGTGCTTAATGTGCATGCCAATGGCAGCTAATGGGGAATGAGAGACAAGAGCATTCGGCTTTTAGTTAACGCGCACGCTGCAATCCCATTAGCAGCCATTGGCATGTACATTGAGCACTATCTGACAAGAAAGGGTTGCTACGTTTTACTCGCTGGGTGTAACCTCTTTAGTTTTAAAAAGGTTTAGCGAGCGTTCAGCCGCAGTGCCATGACTACAATGAACTACTATATACCATGAACTCGAGGTGGTTAAAAGTGGGAAGTTGACAGGAAGCGCAAGTCGTAAGAAAGTAAAAGCCGGATTCTCCTGTCTCTCATTTCCCATTAGCAGTCATTGGCATGTACATTGAGCACTATGTGACAGCAAAAGGTTGCTACGTTACACTCGCTGGGCGTAACCTCCTTGGTTTTAGAAAGGTTTAGCGAGCATTGGGCCGCAGTGCCATGAATACAGTGAACTAGTATATACCATGAACTCGAGGTGGTTATAGGTGGGAAGTAGACCCGAAGCACAAGCCATTAAAAAGTGTGCGTTTGCCACCTCTCCTTTAGTCCTTGGAATGTCCGCTAGATGGCGGTTCTTCTATATGGAGAATATATGATGAAAAGATGCGAAACGGTGGTACTTGGAGTGTTGAATAGATGGACGAACGGACAAACAGAGAGATGCATGAATGGACGCATGAACGGACGCAGGGGCGTATGCAAAGACGAACGCAGGGACGGACGCACGAACAGACGAGCGCACGGGCGGGCGGATGAACGCATGGACGGTCACACAGACGGACGCATGGACGGATGGAAGCAAGAACGAATGGACGGAGGAATGCTTTGGCCCACTCTCCATCATTCACTCCGTTGATACGCTGCCAATTTTTTGTGTAGCGTTGGATGACCAGGATAATGTTATATTTGAAAAAAAATTGCCCGCAGCTTCCCTCGGGGGAACACTAAGGAGGATGCGGAGCATATAATTGGTTAACGGGGTGTTAAAGTGCGACTTACTTGGGTCGATGGCTAAATTGGTTAACGTGGTTGTGAAATGGTGTGTTAAATTGCGACTTACTTGGGTCGATGGCTAAATTGGTTAACGTGGTTGTAGGAGGGGGTGTTAAATGAGTGAACACGTACACACGTATGCGAAAGGGCGGCGCTGGTCGAAGGGACGTCGATCATTGTGTTTGTGGATTCGTTGGAATTCATTTCACCGCGACCTTGGACGTCGACGCGCCGTACAAACCAACCGACGAGCGGCAACTGAGCGAGCGAGCGCCGACCTTGAGTATATATACAGCGCGACGGTGCATGCACTGTCAGCTGTCGAATGTTCGAGAAGGGGGAGAAGCGCAACGGCGCATGCGCGCGCGTCAGCTGCCGATGTTCTCGAAGCGCGACGGCGCATGCACGCGCGTCAGCTGCCGATGTTCTCGAAGCGTGACGGCGCATGCGCGCTACATTATACAGCTAGCGAATGTTCGTGAAGAGGAGAAGCGCACGCGGTGTGTAGAGGAGGAAGGGTGCACAGATGGTGGAGGAGTGAAGCGCGCGCGGTGTGTAGAGGAGGAAGGGATGCACAGATGGTGGAAGAAGGAGGAGGAAGCTTGCGGATGGCGCCGCACTACAAGCCTCGAGTATTAGATGCTCCGCATCTAAAAGGCAACATAGATTTATCATTACAACAACTG